TCGCCCATCAGGTTTGATGCCCCAAATCGTAGTATCCTCACCCAGGTCAGGCTTAGGGGTTGGGGTACCTGCAATAAGAGAAAGTAGATCGTTAGGTAGCTTGCCAGCAAGCTTTTCCCAATCCCATTCTCCCGAACTCGTAGCCCAATTGCAGACGGGTTCTTCCCTTTCATGTTCTGGAATATCCACGAGAAGGAAATCTTCCAGGACCAGCCCTGCCTCCAACCACGGATGTGTCCAAAAGCTAGTGCTTCGTCCATTTCTCATACTCCAACACGTAGCAGACTTCATCAATGGCATAGCTTTGAGGATCTCCTTCCAGAGTGGTGAGTGATTACTCTTCTTCATTGAGGTGATCTTCCCATCCCTATGCTTGAAGTATTTTCCCTGGAAAACCTGGACCCATAAGGAATTCTCATTATTCAAAATCTGCAGGCCAACTTGACCATGAAAGCCATGTTGAGGCTTCTCGCAGATCTAATACCCAAGCCCCCCTGGTCCTTTGGTTTACAAAGGTCCTCCCATTTGACAAGGTGGGTTTTTCTTTTGCCATCATGAGAACCCCACACGAAACCCCTAATCTTCTTATCAATTTCATCACAAACAGACATAGGAAGAAAAGAGGTTTGCATGGCATAAATCGGAATAGCATTCAAGACAGAAATGGCAAGGGTGGCTCTCCCTGCCAAGGAGAGGGTTCTAGATTTCCACGAGCTCAGTTTAGAGTCAATAGTTTCAAGAATGTATCTGTAGGTATTTCTAGTGACTCTACCGTGTAAAACAGGAACTCCAAGGTATTTTCCTAGGTCATTGGTACTCTGGATACCAAGGCGGTTACAAATGCAAGTTCTATCAAAGGTTTTCACATTCTTAGAGAACATCACACGAGACTTTTCTTTGCTTATGAGCTCACCCGAAGCCTCACAGAACTGCTCAATGCATTCCATGACCACCTCAGCTTGTCTGAGGCTAGCTTCAGCAAAGATGACAAGGTCATCAGCAAAGAAAAGGTAGGAAAGTTCAGGTCCTTTACAGGACAGCTTCAATGGTTTCCATCTACCATTGCTAACCTCCCTAAGAATGCAATGCCCTAATCGTTCAATGCAAAGAGTAAAGAGATAGGGTGATAGTGGACATCCCTGTCTTAAGCCTCTGTTGGGTGTGAACTTGTCTGTCTCTCCTCCATTCCAGAGAACTTGCAGTTCTGTGGTGGTGACACAGCTCATGATAAGTCTGATTCCATCATTTGGAATCTTGGCCGCATAAAGTGTTTCTTCAAGAAACCTCCAGTCTAGCCTATCGTAAGCTTTAGCAAGGTCTATCTTGAGCAGCATAGCGCCTTTCTTCCCCGTTCTATTGGACATTGAGTGAACAGTCTCCTGCAAAATTAGGATATTGTCATATATATGTCTGTTAGGAACGAAACTTGACTGATTGGATTTCACAAGTTGGGGCATGAGAGGCTTAATCCTGTCAGCAAGGCACTTGGCCACCACTTTGTAAGACACGTTACAAAGGCTAATGGGGCGAAACTGATTCATGGAGCAAGGGGCCTCCACTTTCGGGATCAGGGCCAGGAGGGTTTCGTTGATGCTCTTGATACGTTCAGGGTTAATGAAGCAGGAGGCAATGAACATGCTGAAGTCAGGGCCAACAACATCCCAGCACTTTTGGTATAAGATGGCATGAAAGCCATCTTTGCCTGGTGCCTTCAGTCCTCCCATCTTAGACACAATCTGCTTCACTTCAAGCAGGATGGGAGGTTCACTTCAGGGAAGTCAGCTGCAATGGATGGCTTCTCCTCCCCTTCTTCCTTTGTGTACAGCTTCACAAAATAGTCCCTAGCCATCATCTGGAGTACCTCAGGGTCAGTGATCCATTGGTTTGCATCATTCTTCAACCCTTTGATCTTGTTTCTTTTCCTTCTAGTTATTGTGCTCGTGTGGAAGAACCTAGTGTTCTGATCTCCTTGACCGATCCAAGTTGCCCTAGATTTTTGCAGCCACAGGACTTCTTCTTGCCACAGGGTTTCTTCCAACTCTTCCCTTATTCTCTGCTCGGCAAGAAGGGAGTGGTTGGTGGGATTCCTTTTGTTTTTCCATTCCAGGGAGTTAAGCTTGTTAGCCAAAGCTTTCTTCATTTTGAAGATGTTTCCGAAGACCTCTTTGTTCCACTCTTTAAGCTTCTCAGTAAGGACCTGCAGGGAAGGAAGAAATTCAAAGTCGTTCTCATTCCAAGAATCAGAGACAAAAGGTTTAAACTCATCATGGCTAAGCCATGAGGCCAAGAATTGGAATCTTCTCACCAGATTGCTCTTTTCCACCGGTCCATCACTGCAGGTGAGGATAGGTCTATGGTCTGATCTGATCTTTGTGAGGTGGTAGGTTGTTGTTTCCGGGAACTTTGCTGCCAAGCCACATTACAGAGACTCCGATCCAGTCTTTCTTTGATTTTTGACTTGCTTGTAAACCAAGTAAAGCTAGGGCCAGTGAACCCTAAGTCAAGGAGGCCACAGTCTTCAATGCAGTTGTTGAAGGCTTTCACCTTTGCTGGATTGAATCTAGCTCCTCCTTGCTTCTCAGAGGGTTTGGTTATGGAGTTAAAATCTCCAAACAACAACCAAGGTAGTTTGGTTTGCCTGCTGATGCTGCAGAGTGCATCCCAGAGCTTCGTTTTCTCAAACTCGTTCGGGCTGGCATAAACTGCAGTCATGTAGCATTCCGGGACTCCTTCCATACTACACTTGAAGTGGATGAATTGGTTCTGTATGTCAACATTAGTAACCTTGGTTGAGGTACTGTCGTAGAGGATCCATATTCCCCCACCATAGCCCCTTGCATCAGAAACTTTCCATGAATCAAAGCCTAGGGTCTTGATGACATCAATGGCATCAACACCGCTGATTCTAGGCTCAACAATACATACCACATTCGGTTTGTACTGACTCTTGTAGAACTCAAAAGAAGACCTAAACTTGGGGTGTCTCGCCCCTCTGAAGTTCCAGGAAAATACCTTAATCATTGGAAAATGACAAGCGTGGTTTCCCTGCAGAAAGCCAGGGGTGATATTCAGGCAATGTCGACGGCCATCGTCGTCTCCTCTGCTCCCATGTCAACTCCTCCTTTGTGAGTATCCGAGGGAGGGATATTTTCTTATCCTTGTAAAGCATCCTCCATGCCAACATCGAAGTCCAGCTTCCTAGGAGGTAACTCCCCTGGATCAGGGGGTTTGCTTTTGGCTTCTTTCACACTTTCTTTCTCCTGTCTGTTCGGGTTTGAAACAAGGGTTGGGGATATTGGTTTCTCCTTCCCCATGGTCAAACCTTTGAGGTAGTGTGGTTTGTGCCCCTGGTTCTTGATCCCCATTATCTCCTTTCCTTTGGCATTAGCCCCTTCCCCCTTAACAGTTGGTGAGCTTCTACTCGCACTTTGACTTTGCTCATTCATCTTGGGTTTAGGCTTCGTCACCAGGGGAACGGTTGCAGGCTTAGTCTTCTGCTTTTGGTTAATCCCCGGAGTCTTCTGGTTTTCCTTCTTGCCCTGAGTTTTGATCTTCATGATCTTCTCTGTTGTGTTCTTGGTCTTGTCCTCCTCATTTTCCTTGGTAGATCTTTCCTTTTTACTTGTAGCATTTTCCCCACTCAAATTCTCTGGTACTTTCTCCACCACGTTCTCCTTGCTCTGTTGATGTGTCTGTTGTCCCTTTTCCGATTCCTGGCTTTCCTCCATCGCTTCGTTAAGGACACTGAATCTAGACCCTTCCCTCTGCGTCTCTTTCTGGTTACCCCTAGTCTTCACAGAAGAAGCTTGCTCAGCCTTCTTACTCTTCTGAATTGGTTTTCGTGTTGGTCGAGACACTATCATCCAAGGTCCGAAGTCTTCAACAAGTTCAGGCCTGATGTTGTTCATTTCCGCTGCCTGCTGTGTTTCTTTTTCCCCACTTGTGTGCACACTTGGTTCATTAGCTGCTGCTGGTATTTTTTCTGGACAGGCATCCAAGAAGTGTCCATACTTTCCACACTCAAAGCAAATTTCATGGAGCCCCTCATACTCAACTCGTCGCACACGCCGCTTCAGTCTGTATTTGGGGACAAGCCTCTTTCGTAAATCAATTTCCGCACATAGCCTGGCATAGTTTCCTCTAACCCCATTCTCTGTGTTGTAATCAATCTTCTCCAGCCTACCTAGCTTGTTACCAATATCAGTTAAGATGTCTTCATCGAAGTAAGCTAGTGGGAGTCTAGGGAGTCTTACCCAAACACTCATTCTGTTGATAGTGTCGAAATCTGGGTCGAAGTCCAACCGCCAAGGCTCTGAGACGATGTAGTGGTTATCTATCGTCCAGGGGCCTCCATAGAGGGCTCGATCATGATCGAGTTGGGTATCAAAGATTGCCTGGTAGAAGCCATTGCCGATATCCCCAATCTTCACCCCTCCCGTTCTTGCCCACAAGTTTCGCACTCGCCTGTGGATGTAGGGGAAAGAGAAGTTCTTCCCCAACACTTTGAAGGTGATCGCTCGCTTCCATCTGTACCGGATCCTCACATCGGTCTTTTTCTTCACCCGGATCGTGGGGCAGTCCGGGTCATCGTCGCCATCCTCTCCCTCTGATTCATCGGACATGAGGTCCTCCCCATTAGGGATTTCCGGCATCGGTGAGTTCCCCAGCACGGAGTCCTTGTAGGAGGCTCGGGGGGAAGCATTGAAATTGTTAGCTTCAGCTCGTGGCTCTTGGTTCATCTTCTCCTTATTCTCCGTTTCCATTTCCGCATCTTCAATCTGGGCAGAGTTCTCTCTTGCAGTGACGACGGCGAATTGAGCCGTTCCTTCACCCGAAAATCCCCCATCGCTCGAGCATCTTGACTTTTTGCTGGGTTGGATGGGTGTCTTCGCAGGGGATCCATCAGGAGGCTTCAAGTTGTGGCAGATTTCCTCTGCCAACGGCTCCAAGCTTGCCATGAAAAGTGAAAACAACCGTTGTTGGAGGAGAGAGGGCAGAGAAGAATCTCCCTCTACCTTTCCCACTCTCTCTCTTCTTCTCTGTCCTTCTGTTGATGCATAGATGAATGATGTCGTGTCAATGGGTATAAAGCGCCGAGCAAGGTTCGATCCTCCAGTCCAGCAATCAGCCCTAATCCTATGTTTCAGAGAAACGAGAGAAACCGGTATGACCATGAAAGCGTGGAGAGAAAGGACAAAAACCGGAGGAACAATGGCCGAATATGGGCCAATTAAGAAATTTCCATGCCAAGTGTATCTCCGGACTCATGAGGTATGAAAACGCTGTAAACTTGAGAGGCTCCATTTCCAAGCTCTGTTTCCTTTGATCTTTCCGCCCGCCCGCCCGACCGACACTCTCCATTCCTTTCTTTCTTTTGTCCAGCTATTAAGATAGCAATCCAAGCCTCGTCCTGCCCTCGTCCCCGATTATTCCCGCCGTCTAATCTATCAATGCTGCTCCATTGAAGCCTTTCTTCCCCGTTTGGCCGTTTCCCCTAAGGTGAAACCAACTCCCTGCCATCTCTCTGTTTCCCTTTTCCTCAGATGGGGTTTCTATGGGTTCATCACCACTCACTGGCGTGATTTGTTTTTTCTCTCTCTTTCAATTGTCTTCTTCCTAGGATCAGAAGTTTCAACTTCTTTGAAAAAGGAAAAAAAGGAGAGACCATGAGCGTGTACATCATTGGGGCTATTGTCCCGCTGGTGGTGACCCTTCTTCTCCGGAAGAATTCTAACAACGGCAAGAAACGCGGCGTCCCAATCGACGTCGGCGGCCAGGATGGGTACGCAATTAGGAACGCCGGATTCCCTACCCCGCTCGAGACGGCCTGGGAAGGAGTCTCCACTCTGGCCGAGCTCTTCGAGTCCGCATGCAAGAGGCACGGGAACAAGAATTTGCTTGGGACCCGGAAGTTGATTTCCAGTGAGGTTCTAGTTAGTGGAGATGGGAGGTCCTTCGAGAAGCTTCACTTGGGAGAGTACGAGTGGCTCACTTATGCTGCAGTGTTTCAGAGAGTCTCCAATTTTGGTTCTGGGTTGGCTCAACTTGGGCATCTGAGGGACGAGCGAGTCGCCATTTTTGCTGATACCAGAGCTGAATGGTTCATTGCGTTGCAGGTTGTTCTTCTTTTTGTTTTTGCCTTTACATGCATGTCTTTCACTGTCTTCAATGATGGATTTGAATGCGTATGGTTCTATCTTATAATATTTTTCTGGATATGTTTAATGTCACAGTGGTCACCATCTACTCTTCACTGGGGGAAGAAGCTCTCTGCCACTCATTGAATGAGGTTCTCTCTCCCCTTCTCTATTGTTTATATACTTTTGAGTTTCGATCAAGCAGAATATGGACGTAACGAGCTGAACTTTCTTTCTGTTTGCTAGTCTTTATTGGGGAAAAAGAGTACCTCGCTTGTTGGTATCGAGTTTGTAGCCTAGAATGCAATTTAAGCTGAGATAGATACTACTGTATATCTCATTTGTCTTAAATTGCATCAGAAGAAAAGGGTTTATTTTCGTTCCGAAGTGTTATTCGAAGTAAGAATCTCTACTAATCTGCTTGGCTGTTTGTTCCCTAGCAGACACCGTTTGGTGGAAATGAAGTTCAGGTGTTTCGGTTTACTTTTAGCTGTACAAACCAATTCCCAAATGGAATTGAAATACATCAGTGATAGTTGGCTCGCTACTCTTCCTTTTACCCTGTTCTGTGGTATATGAATCTAATGACATCTGTTTGCGTCCTTGATCCTCAGACTGAAGTTACCACTGTGATTTGCGGGAGCAAGGAGCTGAAGAAACTTGTTGAGATAAGTGGGCAACTCGACACCGTGAAACGGTTGATATGTATGGATGACGATGTTCCTTCTGTTGAATCTCCACTGGAGCAGAGTGGGCGGTGGACAGTTAAGTCGATGACCAGTGTGGAGAAACTGGGGCAAGATAATCCTACGGGGACTGATTTGCCTCTGCCTGGTGATGTTGCTGTCATCATGTATACAAGTGGAAGTACTGGGTTGCCAAAGGTTTTATCTTTCTATCTTTGTTTTTTTTGTTCTTGTCCTTTATCTTACTTTTGTCTTGTTCACAGATGTCTATGTTACTTTAACATTCAATACGAGTCTCGGATCTTTGGCCAGAAGGTCAGCTGGAACATTAGCTGAATCTTCCCTAACTAATGAGTTGCACGATATACATTTTAGTCGAAATAGTTCCAGAAATTTAAGCTTTTCAAGCTTTCTCAACATTTGTTTGCTTACATATGCAACTTCTCTAACTTATTCTTTTGTGTGCCATTTATGTACCTATTTATGCAGGGAGTAATGATGACACATGCTAATGTCCTGGCTGTAGTTTCTGCTGTCAGGACCATTGTTCCTGGCCTTGAGAGTAATGATGTTTATCACGCCTACCTTCCATTAGCCCATATACTCGAATTAGCAGCTGAGGTAGACTGATTTTTTGCGCAACTATCTATATAAGAACTAGATTAGACAGAGTTTTATGTCTAATTGATTGTTGTTACTATTTGAAACTACATAACATAGTTGCTGGTGTGGGAAGTGCTATAGGATATGGAAGTCCTTTGACACTTACCGATACTTCAAACAAGATAAAAAAGGGAACCAAGGGGGATGCTTCTGCATTCAGGCCAACTGTGATGGCAGCTGTTCCAGCAATTCTCGACCGTGTTCGAGATGGCGTGCGTAGTAAGGTACAGTGAGTGTTCGGCATTCTCTCTCATTTTGTATAATTTAAATTGTAATTTATTCAAGTATGACTTTTTATACTTGATATTAATTTGATCTTCAGGTAGATGCAAAAGGTGGATTGGCCAAGTGTCTATTTGACTTGGCATACAATCGCCGGCTCTCAGCAGTGAATGGGAATTGGTTTGGAGCTTGGGGACTAGAACTGCTTCTGTGGAACCTGTTAGTTTTCAAGAAGGTGCGGGCAGTTCTGGGAGGCAGAGTACGGTTTTTGCTTTCTGGAGGTGCTCCTCTTTCTGGTGATACTCAAAGATTTATCAACATTTGCCTTGGGTTAGTATGCTATTTAAGCGACAATTAGCTGATCTTTTGTTTGTTAATGTGTGATAGATTCTCCACACTCTGCTGATTTATTGATATTTTTAACTGTACATTATTACTTATAATCACTAGTCATTAATGTAAATGAAAATGAACAGTTACAGAAAAGGGTTCAAGAAATGTTTCAGTTTTATCTCTGCATATTGATAATATTCTTGTCACATTAAAATTCACCCTGAACATTATAGAAGAAACTTGAACAATGGTTTTCTTGGGCGTAACTTTATTTTCCTCGGTTATTCCCATCTCTGAACGGGCAAATGCATGTACAGAGCTCCAATTGGTCAAGGTTATGGTCTTACTGAGACTTGTGCTGGTGGGACCTTTTCTGAGTTCGATGATACATCTGTTGGTCGAGTTGGCAATCCACTTCCATGCTCGTATATAAAGGTTAGGGGGTACTGGAATGACTTCCCTCCATCTTTCATTCTCAAGATACTTGCTTTGTGTTCGTTTCTGGTTAATGTTGCGGTGACATAATTTATCTTCCAAGAACCATTTCTGCAATCATGATTCTTGCTGTTAACTTACTTGAAGTCTGATTTGTTTTCCATATGATGTATCGTTCTTGATTCAGTTGGTGGATTGGCCAGAAGGTGGATATTTGATTAGTGATTCACCTAAGCCTCGTGGTGAAATAGTCATTGGTGGTCCTAATGTCACCCTTGGATACTTCAAAAATGAAGAGAAATCAAGAGAAGTCTACAAGGTAAGAAATTCTAAATCAAAGCTCTTCTTCCAACTGCCTTTGAAATGCAAAATTTTTTCATCAACGAGAAATTATCAACCATGTCGATTCGTTTGGTATTTCGGAGAAGGTTGATCAGAAAGGCATGAGGTGGTTCTACACAGGTGACATTGGTCAGTTCCATGCTGATGGATGCCTCGAGATAATTGACCGCAAGAAGGATATAGTCAAACTTCAGCATGGGGAGTACGTCTCCTTGGGAAAAGTATGCATCTCTCGATCTCTGACTGACCCCCCTAAAGAAACCACACTTCTTTTTCCCTGCTGCCAACTTTCACCTGCTGACTAGTAGTCTCCCTTCCCCTCTTTCTCTTTTTTCCTACAGATTGAGGCTGCTCTTATGGCGAACTCCTATGTCGACAACCTGATGATGCATGCTGACCCATTTCATAGTTACACTGTGGCTCTAGTTGTGCCATCTCAGTCCGCCCTTGAAGAATGGGCTGCAAAGCAAGGAATAAACTATGCTGGTTTCTCGGATCTGTGTGACAAGAAAGAGACAGTGCAAGAAGTGCAAGCTTCTCTTGTCAAGGTACACACCATTTTGATGTTGGATGTGATGTTTAATGTATGATTAGATTTGATGATGATGTTACCTTAATCTCCTTTTCTTTGTTGCATGATTAGGAAGCTAAGAAGGCGCGGTTGCAGAAGTCTGAGATCCCGGCAAAAATAAAGTTGCTTTCAAATCCATGGACTCCTGAGACTGGGTTAGTCACTGCAGCTCTCAAGATTAAGAGAGAAGCCATCAGGAAGGCCTTCTCTGAAGAGCTATTAAAGCTATATGAATCGTGAAGAAAATTTTGTTGGAAGCTAGCTGGCTATGACAATTGTCGCTGAGTTTTGTTGCCCTGTGAACTAGTTTCTCATTTTGTAGGGATACTGTTTAGGTTGCCTTTGCAATTTTTGCTGCTTCTCTACTCATATCTGCTTACTTGGGCGCATTTCTGGCCGTCCCACAGTTGTTTATCAACATTAGGGTTTTTTCCCAAACTTTAGTTACTGAAAAAATTCCAACAGTGTCATAGTTGCACTAAAATTTACCAAAATACTAAAATTTAGAATGGTTTGCTGTTCACTGCGCTGAAGTTAAGTGTGGATCAACAAACAGTAGCGTGATTAGTTTTGTTTCGCTGCAAGCTTAAGCGAACTACAACTTGTTTATTTAAAAGAGTAACGTTCCATGTGGTTCGCACGGGCAACACACGATTGTTTGAGACGGGCGAAGCGGATCGCTTTAGCGTAGCGCGATATGCGATGTGTGGTTGTTGATCGCGACCGATGGTTGGTCTGTGGGGTCGACGTAGATCGCTGAAGTGGGTAGATGACCTAATAAGTAATCCATCACATACATTCCACCTTGGTTGAGAGGTGGTGGAAGGAGATACATGCGTTCCACCTTGTCGAGGGAGACGTCGCCCTCCTCACCGAGCTACAAATCGTTGGAGAGGCCATAATCAAGAATTCGAAGCTCCCGACTCAAGGTTTGGGGGGCCATTGATATTTGAGCATTTGGGTATCAATGTGTCGACGGAGAAAACGGCCGGAGGACTAGTTCAATGGTCATGCAACTAGCCTTCCTCCTAGCAGGAGTCCCCGACCCAATGTCACCTCGATCAGGTTCATGATGCTAGGGATGCATTCTAGACCCTTCCAATAGGTTCAACCTATCTGCACACTAGATCGACATGTCGATGGTCACACACGCATCGCTCTAGCATTACATAGGATGGCTTCTCGGTTAGCAGGGGTTGGTCACCTCGTCCACCAATTGGGTCCCTAGATCATTCGTCTAGTCCTAATTAGCTAAGACGCTCAAATTTAGTCTAGATCATGCACTCCTAAGTGATAGGCTACTATGAAAAGAGCTAGAGAGACAAGCCCATGCATAATTAATCATAGATGAAGCATATAATCACTAGACAAACAAATACCATACACAAACCCTAACAAAATTCCATATACATTCACAAACCTAATTCTAAGGTTTGGGGATTAAACACCGAGTACCTTAGAGAAATACCCCATAATGGGAAAGAAGATATATAAGAAGAATTAGAAGAAGAATTGAGTAGGGGAAGAGTTTCCTTGCTTCTTGGTTTCTCCTTCTTCTCCTTCATTTAGCTTCTCTCTCAAAACTACAAATTTTCCAAGTGATTTCACCTCTCTTGTAAAGTGGCCCCCTATTTATAGAGTTCAGGCTATCGAGCAAAGATCGCGGGCGTGATCTTTGGGGGAGGTCACGACCTCGGAAGCTGCTCTTTTACGCTTTGTTAAATGGGAAGTTCGCGGCTTGATATCACGGTCGTGATCCGGGATGTCACGACCGCAATCTTTATTGCGGGCATGGACAACGAGAGCTCCGAGTCGAATGTCGAAACTCTCTAGTCCTCCCTTGGTGGTTGCTTATGAAATTCGCGCCCATGTTTCCAATCTTCACGCCTCGATCTCGGCAATGGCGGCCGCGATCTGCGTGCTTAACTTCACGTCCTCACTTCATGTCTGTGATCTCCTTACTCTTGGTCATGATCTCTCATTTTTGCACATAATCCTACACCTGTGATCCCTTTTCGTACGTACAACTTTCATATCATCTAAAACACTCTAATATGACAATATTCTCTTCGAGTAACGAATAAAGAATGTATTTAATGACATATCAACCAATGAGACCAAGAAATGACTCGAACGATCCTAAATATGAAGGTAAATAACACCATTTTGAGTGTTATCACAAATATGATTTATGTGCCATACCTAAAGTTTATGCATTATAAACATACATATAACACATATATCAGTAATCAAATATAAATTACTTTAAGGTTCGAAATATGAATTAGTTTGTTGAACTATATTCAAATTTGTTGATTATTTTTCGTTGGTCTTGGAACTAAATATCGATGATGAAAGCAACAACGATTCACATTTTATACCTCGATCTCAACTAGAGCAATAAATAATGTGTAAGTTGTATCAAGTAAAGGGTAAGTAACATAATACGCGAACCCGAACAACCCGCAACCTAATCCGCCCGACTCGTAACCTGAATAACGCAAAACGCGATCGATCTGCAACCCGACTAACTCAAAATCAGATTGATCGACAACCCGACTGACCCACAACCTGATGAACCCGATACTCGATTGGCCCGTAAACTGAATAACCCAAAACCCGACTAAACTGTAACAACATTGAAACCAAACTCGAACCCGCTCAAAGCCGTCCGATTGAATCAGTTCTAAATCCTTAATTCTACATCTATCCCCAATGATGAAATCCTAGACAGAGACACCTAAATCCATAATTTATATTTTCCCCCCCATAATTTTCATGCCTATTGGTTGATATGTTGTGTGGGGCTATAGTTCCTACGATAGATGGGAGCAGATCCAGTGAGTAACCTTGTGGTGAGTAACCTCATGCATAACCCAATAAGAATCTGCCACATCAGCGCCTTCTTCTCTCTTTTGGAAAAATCATTAATTTTCTTTCCCTTAATCTTTAACGGACGATTTCTCACTCGTTTTAACTCGGAATTTTTTTTTTTTTTTTTGCACAGTTAGATAAGATTAATTGTGCTCTTCAAAATGATATCCACTTTGATATTTTTTGGAACAAAAAAATTTGCCAGTTATTACCAGTCTATACCGTATGGTATAGTCAATACCATATGGTGTTGACTGGTATTAAATAACAGCATATCATATGGTATGAAAAATACCAGTCAATACCATATGCTGTTATTTAATACCAGTCAATACCGTATGGTATTAAATAACAGCATACCATATGGTATGAAAAATACCACCTCATACCAGGGAGGTATAATATGGTATGAAGTTGGTAACGAGAGGTTTCAAAATTTTTCCCCCAGAAAATTTTGAAATCCAATAGATCAATGATTAAATCGTTCCTTTTGTGCAAAAATTTCCGAAAATGACTAAACAACGAAGGAGATACTATATGGTATGGAGTTGGTAATGAGAGGGATGAAAAAAATAATTCTCAACAAATATTGAAAATGAATATCATTTTGTAGAGCACAACGAACTCGTTCCATCTGTGCAAAAAAAAAATTTGAAATCCGAGTTAGAATGAAGAAGATATGATCCAATTAAGAAAACTAGGGAAAATAAATTCATTTAATTCTCCACCCTTGGATCTGCAATCACTTAAAAGAAGGGTCCAGATTTGGTTACTCATTGTTACTCACCCTATCTTGAGCCCGATAGATCGTCCAAATAGAGTGGCAAATTGGCGGAAGCAGATCCGGTGAGTAACCTTGTGGTGAGTAACCTCATGCATAACCCAATAAGAATCTGCCACATCACTGCCTCCTTCTCTCTCCTGGAAAAATCATTAATTTTCTTTTCCTTAATCTTTAACGGACGATTTCTCACTCGTTTTAACTCGGAATTTATTTATTTTTGCACAATTAGATAAGATTAATTGTGCTCTTCAAAATGATATCCACTTTGATATTTTTTGGAACAAGATAATTTTGCCAGTTATTACCAGTCTATACCATATGGTATTGACTATACCATATGGTATTGACTGGTATTAAATAACAGCATATCATATGGTATGAAAAATACCAGTCAATACCATATGTTGTTATTTAATACCAGTCAATACCATATGGTATTAAATAACAGCATACCATATGGTATGAAAAATACCACCTCATACCAGGGTGGTATAGTATGGTATGGAGTTGGTAACGAGAGGTTTGAAATTTTCCCCCCCCCCAGAGGATTTTGAAATCCAATAGATCATGATTAAATCGTTCATTTTGTGCAAAATTTTCCGAAAATGACTAAACAACGAAGGAGATACCATATGGTGTGGAGTTGGTTACGAGAGGGATGCAAATTTTTTTCTCAAAAAATATTGAAAATGGATATCATTTTGTAGAGCACAACGAACTCGTTCCATCTGTGCAAAAAAAAATTGAAATCCGAGTTAGAATGAAGAAGATATGATCCAATTAAAACAACTAGGGAAAATAAATTTCTTTAATTCTCCACCCTTAAATCTGCAGTCACTTAAAAAAAGGGTCCAGATTTGGTTACTCATTGTTACTCACCCTAAGGTTACTCACTATATCTTGAACCCAAATTGACGATGAATGAATGAGTTTTTTAATGGAAAACACGCATAATGATATTTATTTGGCACGATTGTAGGATTTGTATTCTTGTAATCCTTTCCCTCTTTGTATTTACTCTCATATTCATACTTGTACACTATTATTATTCAGGTATGTTTAATCTAGTTTACATCAATGTAATACACGATTCCCATTCGCTACATTGTATCAAGGGGCTCAAGATAGGGTGCATAACCATGGGTTATGCACCCATCAATAACTAAATCTGGACCCTTCATTTAGAAAATCCAGATCTAAGGATGGAGAATTAAAGACTATTTTTATTTTCACTAGCTTTCTTAATTGACTCATATCTTTTTCGTTTTAACTCGGATTTTAATTTTTTTTGCACAGATGGAATGAGTTCACCGTGCTCTACAAAATGAGATCAATTTTCAATATTTTTTTATGAAAAAAATATTCTGGCCTCTCGGTACCAACTGCATACCATATGGTATCTTCTTCGTTTTTAATTTATTTTTGAAAACGTTTGCACAGCAGGGATGAGTTCATCATGATCTACTGGATCTACAAATTTCTGGGTGAACAAATTACAGCACCAAAAAATACCACACAATACCATACAATACCACCCTGGTATTGTATGGTATCTTCTTCATTTTTAATTCGTTTTTGAAAACGTTTGCACAGAAGGGACGAGTTCATCATGATCTATTGGATCTACAAATTTCTGGGTGAACAAATTACAGGACCAAAAAATACCACACAATACCATACAATACCACCCTGGTACGGGGTGGTATTGTGTGGTATACAATGTTAAAAGTCGTAAATTAAAATTAATATACTTCTACTATCATGTATTCAACCATCCTACAGTATTGGTTTGTTCATACCACCATGGTACGTTTTTCAAAACATAGGTATGCTTTTATTTCAATACCAGTCAATACCATATGGTATAGGCTGGTAAAAAATGACTGAATTTTTTTTGTTTGAAAAATATATTAAAGTGGATATCATTTTGAAGAGCACAATTAATCTGATCTAACTGTGCAAAGATTAAAAAGGGAAAAATTAAAGGATTTTCATGAGAGAGAGGATGCTGATGTCATGCTGATGTGGACGGGTTACTCATGGTTACTCACCATAAGGTTACTGACCTGATCCATTCCCGTATCAAGGCTGGCAATCCACTTATAAATCTAACTAGCTCTTTTTGGTTAATTTATAATTATATTTAAAATATTTACCCGACCCATTAGTCGGATGAATTTTATTCATTTTATGTTCATTAATTTCTTCATATTGTAAAATAATTTGATATTTTTTAAAATAGTTAATTCATTATTTCAAAGTAATCTTTATGGTATTTGTTGATTATGACATTAGCGATAATTATTTAATACAAATTATGTCAATTGTCACTCTATGATCTATTTTTCTCAAATATATTTCTCTATTATTTTTCACATCAAACATGCCCTCGTAATATATAGTATATACGTATTATCAAATTAAATTTAGCCCCTTTTTATTGCTTATCTTCTGCATCTGCAACTTCCAATAATTAATAGCCACAATCTCATCCTCAATCTATTTCGCTTTCTCTTCCTTCGACCCAACAATAATTAAACGCAAAAACTTATCTATCACGAAAAGACCTTGAAGACCGACTTTTGAATTTCAACCACTCTCTGAAAGTCCACAATTATTTATCGATTTGACTTAATCATAAAAATTGGAACCTAATTTTTTAGAATATCTTGATTTCAAAGTACCAAAGGTTGTCAACCCGGTTTAGCCCATTAGCCTGGTAGATTAAGTGGGTTGAGGCCTGAGGGTTAATGGTCCAATCGTTTTAATCCGCTCTTGCCCGGATATATATATGAAAACATTATATTTTCATATATTTATAAATTATATAAAATCCCATCTACATATGGATAATATGCTTCCTCGCCCGGACTATCTACATTTGTTTCTCTATCTGCTATTTTCCGCTATCCTCCTTCAAGCTCCTAAAAAGTAATCAAATAACATGTATTCATCACGGGATGAAGGTCGCACTCCTATGGCGGCGGTATATGTCATATGTGGAAATAGTGAGGAAATACCAAGTGAGAATTGAGCGTGAGGGTGTTTGCAAGGGAATGCAATAAGTGATGGAAGACGAGTTCTGTCAGTAGCCTCTTTGTCTGCAGAATTTACTCGACGGATGTAGCTTGCCAATTCGCTAGAGCGGGAGCTAGAACGGGAGTGTATATTCTTCAAGAATTATAATATGAGTGCGCCGAAAGAGCGTGAATATTATATTATCTTAATTAATATATCATTTAACTTACTAACATGTTTTGGTCAAAATATTACAACAATGCAACAGAAAAATTAAAAAATTATTTTAGTAGGATAATAGCTTTAATTAATCCGATTAGACCCGAAAAAGGAATAGACTTCAAAAGTTGAAAAGAAACCCACCAAAGTTTACGATATTGTTTTTAGTTTTGATTTTTTAAAGGAAAAGAGAAATTAATGCATCATTTACCACCCCCATGCACTCAATTCGTTGTTAATAAAAGAGTCTATATCTTCTTCTTCCCCTTCGATTCTTTGTTTTCTAAGCCGACACTTGAGAACTCCTGTAGATGTACCAAATTGGCAAATTCTATATCATTAACCATCTAACTAACCTCCTATCCTTTTATTTAGTCTTAAGCCCGTGATTTGATGCTCTATTTTACAGTTCCCAACTCCCCATTCCTGAACTCGCGGTGTATCCTTTTCATATTTGCTCTCCAGATCACTTACGGCACCGCATGTATTCTTTTCTCCCACGAAGAAGCGGGTCATCGTCTTCGAGCCAAAGCTGTTGATTTGACTATAACTTGTTTCATTTTACTTTGTTTATTGAGAGAAAAATCTCTCAAATAAGTGATATATGAAATAAAATTTATATAAGTCGACAAATGCCCTATAACTACCCAAAATAATACCTCCTAAGAAAATACCCCCAAAATAACAACCGAATATCCAAATAATCATAAAATGAAAAATAAGTCCAAACCAGTAAATGAACTAGCAACTATGTTTCTAACAATCCGACCTCATTGAGACTGACCTTGCCCTCAAGATTGGTTCCTCTTTGGACCCTTGAATAGCTTATATGTGATCTCCTTCTCAAATATATCTCATGTGAGCTAAAAGAAGCAAGCAGGGAACCCCAAGGCCTCAGGCTTTTGTCACCAGCTAAACCAAACATTACATCTCTTACTTCCTCCCCTGTATTAGGGTCATACATATGTTCAACCTGCTCAGTAGTTAATCTTCTTCTCAAAATTTTCTCATAATAATTTTCGTCCTAAGAACAAATACAAGGATCAACTTGCCCCCGAATTTTTTTTGTAAAAGCTACTGCAATCATTCTCGTATCCTCGACAAATGATTCCTCACATTTTTTTAGTTTCTACAGCTCCTTACCCATCCTACTTTCCTCTTCAAAACTTATTGCACTTGGACTCTGTAAAGCAGCCTTCTGTGCTATAGAAACTATAGCCTCCTTCATTCTCACTTGACCTCTAATATCAGTAGACACTTCTCTACTCAACTTGCGAAGTAGTTGCTTCAGAAATCTCAATTCCTTACACACCCTCACTAATGGAGAACCAACTACCTCGTGCTCCTTGGCCCTTACTAAGTTTTGAAATTCAGGATTATGAGTCCAAAATCTGGAAAGGCTTAAATTAATGGTTTAGGAAGTCACTTCATAGCAATATCAATGTTAAAAAAAAATCGCACAATGATCAGACACCATGGGCTTCAACAACCTTACCTCATTTCTAGGCATCTTATTTAGCCAACTCAAATTGATGAACGCCCTATCAGACCTTCAAGCAGTTGGAGTACCACTATGTTTTTTAACCAAGTAATTCACAGCCCTTCGGCAATATGTTCCTCTACTTCAAGTATCCATTTTTTAAACTCAACCATACTAGTCTGGCGAGTTAGAAGCTTCCCTTGGATCCATGATGACATTGAAGTCTCCCAAAATGAGCCACAGACTATGAGTAACCTGATGACCACGAATATCATCAAAAAAATTTACTCCTACCGAAGCAGGCTGAGAAGATAAGCTCTCAAGCTTGTCTGATAACATATCTCCAACAGCCTCCTGCATTAACACTTGAGGACTTTCAGTTATGGACTGATTATCGTTTTAACACCTTTGCAAAACTACAATGGAGCTCCCAATTGATGTAAGAATAACAACTTTATAATCCTTTATAGACTCCACAGATTCATCTTGCACTACCCCCTTACTTCATTCTCCATATCAGGCCTTTGCTCCGCCACAACTACAACACCAACTCAACCTACACCACATCCTCTACTACCTACTTCCTCTACTTTATCTTTCCGCACCCATCTTTTATTGCTCCTAGCCAACCTATCACAATCATGCTCAAAACCTTGACTATGACTACATACTAAAGGCAAGTTACAGAACTCCACCTCAATTTCAAATGGCGGATCATCATCTGGATAAAGTTTGATACGATAAGGATATTCATAATCTTTTTAATATTGACCCTTAATATAGCATTTGGTTTCACATGATTCTGTAAAATGAATGCATGTTTGTTCAATCTTACATGATTCTGTAAAATGAATACATGTTTGTTCAATCTTATATGAGGTAGGGCTCATGACAAAATCCTATGAAATCATTGTATCCTCCTTAACCTATCCCCAAGCTCTGAAGCAATCGCTGCCATTTGCCAGTCTCTTAGTCGCATTGATTGAACATCCTATCTTATTGTTACATGACAAACACACATTTTCTTAATACAACAAATGTAACACGTTGGGCGAATCCCACATCGACAAAGTATGGGAGGGATCCATAGTTCATAAGTAAGAAACAAACGTTAGCTCACAATACGCATTCTGAGGTGAAATTGAGGAGTTCTTGTGAGAACTTCGAAGTTAAATATGCTGAGTGTGGAGCACTGCGAGGATGGATGACCTTACTGGAAGTCACTTTTATATCCACCGCAAGGCAAAATATGTGAGGGTCCGGGCACAAAGCAGACAATATCTTGTCGTGACAAGTGGTATCAGAACCTCTCCGCATCCCTCTTGAACGATGGTGAGGCAAACCTCAACGTGCTCATTGTGGAGCACTGCAAGGATGGTGACCTTATGAGAAGTCACTTTGGTATGTACTCCAAGGCCAATGAGGATCTGGATCCAAAGCGAACAATATCTTGTCGAAAATTTTTTTGAAATTTTACAAGAATTTAATCTTATTAATTTTAATTTCTTGATGGAACAACAAACTTAATCAATACTCCGAAGGTTGCAAACGAAGAAGGCACTTTATCTCTAGCATGTTCCATTCTTAAGACTGAAATATATAGTTTTGGTGTGTTGTGGGAGGGAAGCAGGTGGTGCCAAATTCGGAGCAAGAACCTGACCACTAATATCGGCGTAATCGGATCAGTAGGACAAACTAATATCGTCTCCCTCGCAGCTGCGCCAATTCTACCGTCGATAATGGCGAGGTAACTACTGCGCCTTTCCTCGTGCCTTACGTTAACCATGATAAATCCCGCCCCACCTTATTCCTCTCCCTGCCTCGTCCCCAGCCTCAGGTCTCTCACTGCCACTCTCTCTATCTTCTGTTTGGTTCCAGGGAAAATTTCTGGGTATTCTATCTTTGTTTTCAGCTCCGGATTTTGGGAAACACTGTAGACTGGGTTGGTTTTGATTTGTGTTGGGAAATCGTCAAAATCTTGAAATTGAACTTCTGATTACTGCTACTGTTCATTTGTTCTGCTTTAGGAGAAGTCTCTGATTGTCCATTGTCAATCACTTGTTAATCATTCTTGGAAATACTGATTACAGGTAATTTGTGGGTGCTCGAGTTAGTGAGCTTCTTCGTTAACCAGATATCCGAAAAATGGGGAGCGCCTCGTCTATGCTAACTCAATATGATATAGAAGAAGTTCAGGAGCATTGTCACAACCTCTGTAAGTTGGCTGCTTTTCTTCGTCCTGTCCAACAATTCTGCACCAGTTAGGCTTGTTTTTGTTTTCCCCTGTTATGTTCAATCTGACATCTACTTTCAACTGCCAACTTCAGTCTCCCAACAAGAAATAGTGTCATTGTATCAAAGATTCTGCCAACTGGATCGCAATGCGAAAGGATTTATCTCGGCGGATGAATTCTTATCGGTGCCTGAGTTTGCCATGAATCCACTTTCTCAGGTAATCTCTCCATCCATGAGTTTTCCCTGAATACTTGTCATATGTCTTCAGTTTCTGCAGCTTTCTAGTGCTACCGTAACTATACATGGGGATTTCATTCATGTAGCGCCTGCTCAAAATGGTGGACGGCTTGAATTTTAAGGACTTCGTAGCTTTCTTATCCGCATTTAGTTCGAAAGCAACTACAGAACAGAAAATAGCTTGTACGTATTTGATTCCTTGGACAGTAATTTATATGTCAAAAGTTTTGGGTAATTTGTTTGTTCTGCTAAAATCAATCCTATAACGTAACAGTTTAGGCTGGAAACATCCAATAACATACATTTATTCTACCATTCTCACTTTTGATGAATTGTGCAATCTCTATTGCCTCAGTGATTTTCAAAGTATATGACTCGGATGGAAATGGAAAAGTCTCTTTCAACGACATACTAAACGTGCTTCGTGATTTATCTGGTTCATTCATATCAGATGAGCAAAGAGAGGTACGGCTACGTTCCTTCCTGTATCATTTCATCCTCACATGCTACTTTGAACTCGCAGGAACTTTTAGCAATATCTTATATTAGCGTATAGTTTGATGATTGTAGTCGTTCATGATTTACTCTGGAACCTTGATAACGTAGCTAGCAGGGATTAGCTTGATTGTATAGTCTGCCTATTTCTTTAAGCATTTCCACAGCTATTGAGCAGGCTTCTTTCCACCTTCTGGTGTTTTTTTTTTTTTTTTTTTTTGCAGCAAGTCCTGACTCAAGTTCTAAAAGAGGCAGGTTACACAAAGGAATGTTACCTCTTGCTAGATGACTTCATTAAGGTGTGTTACCTTAGTTAGTATATTTCTTACCCACTTGTATATCTTGACAGGAACAAAGGTTTCTTGTCTTCGTAAAGCTCGAAACTTGCCATTGCATGAATCTGCACTATGTGGTTCCTACTTGAACTGGTGACTACTTTACTTAACATATTACTGGTGCAGGTATTTGGGAATTCAGGCTTAAAAATGGAGGTTGAGGTTCCAGTTGATTAAGCGAGAAGTGAGCTCACCATTCTAACTCGTCGCTCCCGGGACCAAACAAGATCCCGTGGTTTATCTGTAGATTGGAAGGAAAGGCCACACAGTTCTTTTTTTCGCTTGTGTTTATAGATATAGACAGCAAATGAAAGTACACAAATAAATGCTCTTAGCTTCTTCCTCCTCTTTTCTGTGTACAGTCTTCCCTTTATTCTTTTACCATCTGTACTATTCAAGTTAGCCGAAGTTTTGGATTTTGGCAGTAAATTGAATCAAGGAATGTAACTTGTCAGGTTTATTGACTGACAAATTGACAGTATGACTTTGAGTAATAATAATATTAATAACATTTATTGATCAGGGTAATAACTATTAAGTAAGTTGGACTCCATCCTTCACCCGTTGGCAGACTTGAGTAATTGCTCAATGTTGTTCAAAATGAATAATTTTATATTTGTAATTTTCTTACTATAAGGTGTCTAACTATCGAAAACCCGTAAGTCGCAACTAACTACAGTGGTATAGCAGTACCACCCAGTCTAACGACAATTTCTAAGGAACTAGATTAGGCAAGGAAGGATCAAAAACATGGAAGATAATCACAGGAATCAATAGTTCAGGTGACCATTATCTCGGAATAAAGAACTTGTGGCACAAGGAAATGTCAACAGGATGTAAAAACTATAGTAAACCTGATCAAATGGATTGAGATAAAAGGGTTAATTTGGAACATTAGGAATGGATTAAGATGCTTATTAGAAGTAAAATCAATTCAGATTGAGATCGATATAGAATTGTACATCCAATGAAGTCCAAAGGATAGTAGGTAAAATGCAATCTATAGTTACTATCTGGAACTTTAAACTTAATAACATCACAATCGTTCAACAAAATTGAGGTGAATATATTAAAACAAATAGGTTTGGCAATGGCCACTTCATAGCCTCATTTATCCAATCAGCCTCCCATGCACTTAGAAACTAACTACGGCAACCACTATGTCCTGGCATTCATCAACTACCTACCACTATGAGACTGAATGAGTTCATTCAGCAAAAATGCCGTCATTCATAATCGTCGTCAGAGTAATTGTCGTCATCTTGCTCGAGTATTTGATATTCACCATCACTGCTGTCAGCATCGTCATGTATTTTCCCACCTTCAACTTCAGTTGCCGGAAAGCTATCAAAGAGGTCTTGCAGATAGTTTCTTGAGTTGCTCCCAGTACCCAAATCTAGGACAAAGTATAGGAAAACACCATAGAAGCGAAAGATCAGAGAAACAACATAACTCAGAGAACAGAAAATTATTTAGTAGCCCAGGTAGATCTCCAAAGGAGGTGGGCGAAATGTAACTAGTCATATCAGCACTGCTCATTCGATATGTTCGATAGTAGAACAGCAGAGTCATGGTAAAAAAGGATACATGAATCTGAATGCAGCGAGAATTCGTCATCTTCCTCAGCCTATGAATAGAAACAAATTCAAATATTATCATATCATTAGGAAAAAAAATAGCTAACAAAAATATACATCGAACAATTTTGGTTTACCAAATCCAAAGCGTCGTATGCATCGATCTCCTCTTCTTCATCATCATCAGCAACAAGATTATCAGTAGCAACATCCTCCATCTCGTGTTGATTTTCGTCCAAATTATCATCTACAAAGCCATGTCATGAATCCTTCAGATTATTGTAGGGTAGATGTTGGATATTATTTCAAAGGGAAATCCTTTTAGCAATACATGACGGATAAGCTATGATAAATGTAGTTAAACGGAAGGCAATTTGAGAATTGAGAACCAAATAGAAGACAGTAGCAGCAGTTTTTTATCTGTACCTGTGTGAGTCTGCTGGTCTTCCTTTTGACATTGTTTTAAGGCACACATCTTCTTCGACTTTTCAAAATATTCTGAAGCAGCCTTGTGTAATTTTTGTGCACCAGGTTGTGGATATACTGACAGGAATCTTACCATCACACGAAATTTTAGAGTATCATGCTCCTGCTGAGAGAACCACCCTGATCCATACTGGTTAAGTGAAGATGGTGAGTTCTAAAATACCCAAATGCACAACAACAAACTACGAAGCCATAAACATAATGAAAACAAAGGCAGTCATATACATCATAGAATAAAGGGGAAAAGGATATATCGGGAACTAAAACTAAAATTAGGAAGGTTGTGTCATTTGGCGAGAGTATCGTGTAAGGTTCACAAGTTGAGTTTTAGTCTGAACGAGTCAGTTCGTATCATCTATACTGGCTAAGTTCTAAAAATGACTGGCAACCTCTGCACAATGCTGATGCCATTGGAAAATGCTGCAAAACTAAAACTTGTTTTGTAGGCCAAGTGCATGATAGTATGCTGTAATAAGTAGATTACATACACATACACACACAGAAGTTCACAACAGACTCACAGTGCAAGTCGTCTGCTTGGGTGGTTTCTTTATCTCTTCTTGAATGTAATCATCAACAAGTTCAAAGAGTTGGAGCGATGTGTGGCATTTGTAAGGAAAAGCTTCAAACTTGCATAAATCCTTCCATCTCTGTTTTAAACTGCACGCAAAATAACATGTAAGCAAGACCAGTAAGAGCACCAAGTTGAGGCTTCAAAGAACCTAATAAAAAAAGTCCCCAGGCTCACAACATCCTGTGCTCTAGCATAATAGACTAGGGAAGATCACCGTCCAACTGCTAAGAAAAATTTAGAGAACTCTTCAGCAACTGAGATCAGCTACTACCCCAAAATTGTTAATTAGTTCTAGCCAAGAGGTATGTTTTCCCTTTGCGCTAAGAATGTATTATTCAGGATGTACTTAATTAAGTCATTTCCAAAAAAGCGATCTAAAGTCTCATTTATAACTTCTTTATTACTAAAAAAATATCTTACATCTCCTCAACACTACCTTTTCTCACACCATACCAAATGCATTCTCTTCACTTTTAGTAAAACTTAAGAACAGTTATCTATTTTTAAAGCATAATCTTGACAAATATCTAGCTGTATATACCAGCAAATTGGTACTGTACTCGATAGGAAAGGTGTGAAGGTAAAGAAATTACCCTTTAGCAGCATAAATTTCACAATAACGTCTAAGTGCAGGTGGGACTCGAAAATCAACTCTTTGATAGCTGCCACAAAAACAAAAGGCATCGGAAATCAGCTTCCAGCTTATACGAACAATAGATAAGAAACGCCTTCTGCATTCAACCAGATGGGGAGCTTTTCTTTTGGCCATCAATGACAAACAAAAGCAAATGAAGCCTATGAAAATTTATTCTTGGATCTTGAGTAGTGAAAATATTATCTGACGAAGATTACTAAAAAATTTGCTTGGGCTGTATTTCCCTTGATACACATGATAAACTAGGACCAACAAATAATTTCAGCATGTATGATCAGGTCAACATAACCATACTATACTGTTAAGTCCACAAGTTAGAACATACAGAAAGTATGAAATGGCAAACTCTGAACTTCTTGCACTATCAATCAAAAGAAGACACCCTGCAATTGTTAAGGGCATTCATGCCCATGTTCTTTTTTAAAATTCACCACTGAGACTTCAAGAGCAAAAACACAAAGAGAGAAGATAAATAAAGATCGCCAAAGCAGGTGCATAGCTCTTACATGCAAGATGCAGAATCTTGACGAGGATCATATCCTTTTCGGATCCAAAACATGCGGAATGGTCCACCTAAAAAGTAGTATGCCACCATTATTAGAAGTCTGCAAGATCAAAATGAAGATTAATTAACACAAGCTTTTCCTTGTAGTACTGAACTTACCAACTGCGAGACATTGGTAAAAGTAGAGGCTTCAAGCACACAACAAATGCAGTTAATTAAGTAGGATGGATTTTGTCCTGTAGAATACCTTTTGAGTGATTGGTGATTAAAATGTAGATCCTTCTCAAGTAACCGCTGCACGAGAGACTCTTTTGGCCATATCGGTCGCTCCTCAAACAACTCAGATAAAGCCAGCAGTGCCTCCTGCATCCTCGAGTTATGAGCTACATATTCTTCCCAATTTATTTTCTTGGGTATCTGTAAGGCTTGTTAAGTAGAACTGGAAGAGACAATCACAAGATTGTAAATAATAGATGTTGAGATTTGTCAAACATAGGACTTCACAACTAAAGAACCAAGTCCGATAATAACATCAGGCTTACCACACTAATGAATATCTGCATATAGATGATTCTGCATATAGATGATAACGCACACAAACCCAAGTGAAAGTTTTAGACTAGAAGAATGAAACAGTACTAATATGAACAGAAAAATAGAAGTAATAACAAACAGAACAGTCCAAGATAATAACAGATGTACAAGAGTAAATAGTCTATTCTCAATTAGAAGGTTATTCAACCTTTGAAGACTAAGTTTTGCAGTGATCTAGCCAGGTAGTCACCATTTCAAGTCGTGATATGTGAATAGCTCACATTGCCTTGCTTTTAACCAGAGATTCTAGTACATTTTGAAGGAAACTGGAGCTTAGAAACTTTTAGTGATTGTGACACAATCTCTGAATTTTACTAATAAAGAAACTTTGGACAGGAAAAACACAATGCAGCAACACGCTGTGTGAACCTAAGAGTAGATATGTATATCTCATACATGAAGAGGGATTTGTCCACAACTTTAGTGTTTAGACCAAGGTAGTTGGCCTTACCAAAGTGAGTCATCAAGTATCATCAACCAAAAAGCATATAACTTAAAGAAAGCAAAATAAAAAAGATTTAGAAGCACGGAAACAATCAGGATATCTTTTATGTTAAAATCAATAGCGAGGGCAGGCTCCAGATTCATCTGCATAAGAAGAGAAAGATAGCTATTAGCTTCACAAAATAACCAACCTATTCAATCTTCTCACAAACGTCACGGAAGGTCCTGAGTGAAGGTTCGATAAAGACAAGTTACCTATTCTTTCACCCAGTAGAATCAATTGTTGAAAAAAACTCTAAACTAAGATACGCTTTTGCTGCATGAATCATGTACTTTAGAAAGCTAGAATTACTTGTTTACCTCTACATAGTTTTCAACTGCTTCCTCCTGTTTCTTCTTTGAACTTGTCATGGTTGATGGTTTCAACCTGAGAAATGCGGAAACAACCAAAACTGAGACAAACAATGAGAAATTGCAGAAATATCAAACACAGGTATCAATTAGAGATCCCCCAAACCTAGCCCTTATGGTCCATCTGATCAAACCACCCTTATTACAGAAATCATAAGAAAGCGAAAAAGAATGAGAACCTCAAAAGTTAAAAGACAAGCAAGGGAGTAACTCAATCAACTTCTTTTTGCCAAAGACCGTTGCAAACCCAGTGTATTCTCCAAGACAGAACATGCA